TGAGGGGGGACATGGTATGGCTCTATAAGTAGCTCAAAGGCTGCCACAAAGAGGAAGGTCGAGATCTCTTCTTGCTGATGCAAGTGCAGGGCATGGAATAATCGATTAAAGCTGCAACAACCCAGGTTCAGTCTAGATATCAGGAAAAGCGTCATCACTGTCAGAGTGGGACCAGTTATCTAGAGAGGTGGTGGTCTCTTGATGCCAGAGACATCAAGATGATACTGGACAGCCATCTAAGTGGAATGGCATTAATTGGTGTCCTGCAACAGCAGGGGTTGGACCCAATGGCCTTCATGGCCCTTTCCAACTCTACTATTTTATAATTCTATGATTCTATGAAACATGCATATTCAAAAGCTAAAAACGATAAAAACAGAAACGAATCCCACAGCAATACAGGATGCACATAAGTGAAACTGAGTGGTGGAAATTTAGGACACACAACAGAAACCCCTTCTTTTCACATAATGCAGAGTCAAAATATGAAATGCACAAACACAGAGGTAGCTCTGAGCACAGACTCAGATGATTAGATGAATTCCCAGAGGAGGAGGCCGTCAGTGAGCAGGACAGCTGTAGTTTCAAACAATGTATGCTGGGAACATGGGCGAGAAGGTGCTACTGCAACCGCGTCTTGCAGCCCAGCGTGGGATCTAGCTAGAAACCTTCCTTGCCGCACAGTCAGGCTCTTGACCTGATCCAAAATGACACACCTTACATTCCAGTGCTCTTGATGCACCAAAGAAGTTGCTTAATATCCCAACCAAAGCTGTCTGGAGAAAACCCTTTTAGCGGGCTCATCCAGCCAGACTGGCATGAGGGCAGCCCTGCCATAGGAAGGGGCGTTCTCAAAAAATCTGGCCTTTACTGATTTTGGAGTACTGATGGTGAGAAAAAGGACTAGCAGGAAGTCACCCTGGATGGCAGAGGTTGCTATGCCAGCTTTAGCCACCAGGGGTGGCCTTGCTCTTGCTGAGTTTGTTGGCCTTACATTCCTGCCTCCCTTCAAGCAGCAGCCCCTATTACACCACCATGGGTCCTCGAACTGTGGCCTGCGGGCCAGATATGGCCTGCCATGCTCATTTATCCGGCTCGCCTCAGAGCTTTTGGACTCACTCGGACGATCTCCAAGCGAGTCCAAAAGCTCTGAGCCAGTGCAGGCGTTCTCTGAAGCTGAGCAGAGCCGGTGCATGCGCCAAATCGTAGCGGCTCAACTGTGCGTGCACCGGCTCTCTTCCCCACCCACCTCTTTCATGCATATACAGAGCGGGAATACGGGGTGGGAAACAGAAGAGAGGAGGGTGAAAGAGAGAGAGAGAGAGATGAAGTCACTAAAAAGGATTGAAGGTAAGAAGAGTATAACTTTTTACATCCATTTATAAGTATGTGAGCCATGTCCCCGGGTGCGGGAGCCACGGCCTTCTATGGGCAAGCCGCCACCGTCGAGCGGCCGCCGCGCTTCTTCCCCCCACGGCGGGGAGAGGCGGGAGGCGCCCTGCTTGGACAGCCGCAGCCTCCTTCCTTCGCCTCGGAAAGAAGCCCTCGCCTCCCTCCTCACGGCCCTCTCCCGGCTGGGGGAGCTGCTCCACACTCGCCTCCCTGGCCTCCTGCTCCCTCAGAACCTGGCCGGTGGCGAGGACTATAATTTCCATTATGCCCAACCAGCATGGCCAATGGAAGTTGTAGTCCAACTCATGTGAGCAGTACCCGTTTTGGCAAGGTTGCACTTGAAATATGATGGCCATTGGCTCTGCATCCAAATACGGCCATTGTGTATTGTGGGAATTGTTCTGGGCTGACTTGCTTCAAATACCACAGTGGCATTGACAGTATTTGTCCTTAGTGTTTTTGCTTCATTCTTTGTAACTGCCAGTCGCAGTCCTCAGCTGCATTGTGCAAAATACTCTATTTGGTGCCTTGGTCGTGCTGTAGCTCTGTCCCTCGAATATGGACATGCTCTTCCCCACCTCATCTGCTGCAGCCCGAGCGAGCAGAGCAAACATTTTTTAATTGTAATTACTTTTTAAATTTATTTTAATTTTAATTAATTTTTCAAATTTTAATTACTTTTTAACTTTATTTTAATTAATTTTTAATGTGCAGTGTGCATAGGAATTTGTTCACATTTTTTTCAAACTATAGTCAGTCCCCTAACAGTCTGAGGGACAGTAAACTGGCCCCCCATGTAAAAAGTTGGAGGACCCCTGTATTACACAATCTGAAGAGAAACCACAGCAGGCCCTATTAGCAGGTGTGCAGGGTTTCTTGCTTGGCACCAGTACATCCCCCAGTCCATCTGGAAGAATATTTTTGTCACCATTGCAAACCCTCTGCCCCCATATACCCCACTGAATCAATGAATACTTCCTTTTGATTCCACATTGTTAAATGAATTTATTTCCGCCAATAAAGCAAGCACAACTCCCACCTACTTCACTTACAATAACCCTGCGAGGTAGACAAGATTTCCTAAGTGCTATCCCACACTGCCCCTCACCTGTCAGATGCGTAAGCATCAGATCCAGTGCAAGTTCTTTTAAAAGGAGATCAATACAGATCCTTTTGGAAACCCACAGCTCTGGTGATGCTGGAATCCAGAGGGCAGAGGGGCTCTGAGTGGGCTTGTGGGTGCAACTCTTTGGGAAGTGGGGGCAGGGCATCTTTCGATGCCAATCTGTGTGAACCTCTGCGGCAGTCACCCCCATGAACTACTGGGGCCATGATTTGATTTTTTGAGGGGGCCTAGATAGCCTATTGGAGGCTGAGCCAGAGAAAGGTTTGTTCTGATCCAACCACACAATCCTTTTGTCCACTGTAAACTGGCTGTCCCCTGGTGGAAACTGTTGGACCAGACTGTGCGACTGTCTAGTCTAGCCTTCCACTCACAGGCGGCGTTTTAGGACAGAAGCTGGCTCGTTCCCCACAGCGGAGGCTGCCGCACGGCATTTCCCGCCTGCAAGCGGCTGGAGTTTCGGGCCCCGAGGTCACTTCCAGCAAGAGGATTCTGGAGGAATCAGAGCAGCTGTGCTCGCGGGCCTCTTGCCCATGGGAAGCCTTCGAGCAGCGCGGGAGTGCGAAAGCCCCCCTGCTCACGCCCCAAGCGATTGGCTTCCATGGGCACCTGTCTCTTTTCTTGGGGGGAGCGAGGCCCCTCCACCCTTCTCTTCCTTTGGAAAGTATCCAGTCTCCTTCGGAAGCCATTCCAGTTGGTGGCCACGACACACCATGTGGCAGCACGTTCCGTAGATGAATGGGCTGCGGAAGAGGACTCCCTTGGATCGGGGCCCGGGTCCCTTCTCCCCCCTGCTTTCGCTTTCTCCTCCTCATCCCCAGCCCAGCTCCCTGGGACCAAGCAGCCACCTCTGCCCCGACGCAAGCTGCGCTGGCTGACTCCGGATGAGTCACCGAAGCGGTTACGCAAGCGCTGGATCACGTTTCGCCGATGCCCCGGGCAGCGCGTGCGGCGCGTCGAGGGGGCCAGCGGCGTTGCCAAAGAACTGGGCAACTTTCACCCGCTTTCTCCAGGCGGGATTAGGCCCCGATCCGCCCTACTGCGCCAAACCGAGTCGGAGAGTGGCTTGCAACTCAGCCGGGCACCCCTTTTGCAGCTTGCGGCGCCCCCAGTGGGGAGGGATTGACTCGCGAGTAAAACTGCGTAGCATCGGGCTGCAAAGAAAACCATGGCCAAGTGGTTTGTTGCTCGCTTGCCTATCAGGGTTCTACACAGAAATAAATCCCACTGACTTTAATGGGGCTTACTCCCCGGTAAGTGGGTTCAGCGTTGCAGGTTGAAGGGCATGCACTGCTCTGCCCAATGTTGCGGGGGGGGGGGCTACTGTGCCCTCCCGCACATCTGGCTAAAATCTGCCTGATCCAGGATCTCTTCTACACGGAAAGCGGCTGTTGAAATTCCAGGCACTCACTTTCGAGTGAAAGGGCTCGAGGTTCCGCCTCTGCCTGCACAAATTAAAGGCGAAGCACCTTGCGAAAGGGGGGCGGGCGCTGCAGAAAGCGCGGCTAGCGATGCAAAATGCACGCGTGCCTTTTCCTGTTGCGTGGGGGCGTTGTATGAGTAAGGGATGTTGGCTGGGGTTGCGGTTGTAAAGTGCATGCGTGCAACTGTGCTGCTGCCGTGGGAAGTTTGCAAGACAACGCGTGGGTGTGGGTTGCCGGTGGACGAGCTGCACGAACCGAAGCAGAAGGAACGAGCGAGAGGAGCGCTCCGCGCGAGGAGACTGAAGCCAAGAGCGATTGCAGCAACAACCGACACCTCTTCTCGCCTCTTACTACGGGAGTGATGCGGGGGGGGGGGCGACATTCCTCCGCCACCCAGTTAGACTTTGCGCTATTTTTTGTTTTTTCATCTGCTGGCGGGTTCTTGCATCGTTGCTGTGCGCGCGCACTGTAATAGATTGCAAAACCACAGTCATTGCCGGACAGGAATTTCTACGCACATACTTAAAGTATCTCCCCACCTCGTGGGCTTCCAAAATAACTGCATTTAAAAAAACCGAAACACCCCCCCCCCGCACGCGCTCATTCTTGGGGATGGGGCGTATTCTCGTCCCTCGTATGCACGTAAACGTCTCCTTAAATCGATGCAGCGCAGCTAAGGCCGGCTTTGCCCTTTCTCGAAGGAGGAGGGTGCAGCCGCGCTGCTCGGAAAAGCCCAGCCCTGGTTTCTGGGGAAATTCAGCCACGCTACGAGCACTTTTCCTGCTTGGCAGCAGAAAAAAATCAACCGAAACTCCGGTCTCTCCGCTTCTTTCTTTTCTTTTCGACTTCTTAAATATTGCAAATAAAGATGACTCCCCCTACCGTTTGCAAAACTGCCGGAATCCCACGTGGTGGCGCCTAAGCGGACAACCAATCCGCAGGCTCCGTGGGGCGGCCTTTGATGCCTCGTCTACGAATAGGACGGAGCGAGGGACGTCCCGAGCCACACCCCCTCGGAGGTTCAAAAGGAGCTGTCAGCGGGCGCCGCGTTCAGACGGATGTGCTGCCTCGCCTCGCCTGCCTGCCTGCCTGCCTGCCTGCCTGCCTGCCTGCCTGCCTGCCTGCCTGCGCGCTCCGCTGCCGTGCGCATTCGCTGCGCGGGGTTCCGGCTTGCTGCGCTGGAGGGAGCCCGCGGGGCTTGCGGGGAGCTTGGGGGCTGACTGCGCGCGTGCGGACGTGTGGCGCGCGCCCTGGCCTGCTCGCGCGCGTGGCCGAGCCCGCCACGGTGGATTACAGTTGCACCATGACGTTGGAAGAGCTGGTGACCCCCGACGAGGCCGAGAAAAAGTAAGCGCGCCTCCCTGCTCGCCACGCCGCGGAGGGGGCTGGGGGCGCTCTGGGCCCCCAAGGCGCCTTGTCCGGCGCTCGCCCTCACCCTGGCGCCTTTTCTCCCTTCCAGGATGAAGCCGGTCAGCGAAGCGGTGGAGCAGCTCTTGGTGGCGGCCCAGAGGCAGGGCTGCCTGACCGTGGGCGTGTACGAATCGGCCAAGCTAATGAACATGTGAGCCTCCCCGCCCGCCCGCCCGTCCGCCCCGGCGCCGCCGTCGCTGCTCTTGCACGTTTGGCGCTGGCTGCGGGTTGCTTTTTAAGGGGCTTGCCTGTCCCGGGCTCGGGGGAACAGCCGGCGCAGCCAGCGCGGGCCCTGCGGGGCACGGGCGGCCTTTTGCAGAGCGTGCCAAGCGGGCGCGGGGTGCGTGCTCTGCCCGGCCGGGAGGCTCTGTGACGGCCCTCCTTTCCTCCGCAGCGACCCGGACTGCGTGGTGCTGTGCCTGCTGGCCGCCGACGAGGACGACATCGCGCTGCAGATCCACTTCACCCTCATCCGAGCCTTCTGCTGCGGCAACGACATCCATATCCTGCGGGTGGCCGGCATGGAGCGGCTGGCGGCTGTGCTGGGCGAGAACCCCAAGGACGGCGCCGAGCCGCGGGACCTGCACTGCCTCCTCGTGACGGTGAGTCGGCGGCGCCAGGTGCGCCCCACGCCGCGCCGCTCCCCCGGGTCCGCCAGGTCTCCGGGCGGCTTCGCTTCGCTTGGCTTCTTCTTGAGGTTAAATGCCCTGGAGGGGAAAGGGGGGGCAGGAGCGTGCTCGTGCAACGGGGGGAGGGGGGGTTCACGCCGAGGGCTCTGGGTCTGTGCTTGCTGGAGGAGGAGGGACTTCCCCTGGGTTTGTTTCCTCAGCTGACCTGGCAAACAGCCCTGAGTGAGCAGATCGGAATGTCCTCCCGCCCAGGGATCATTTCTGGGAGGCCGCCTCTGCAGTGCCAGATCAATCTGCCCGGGAAAGAAAGCCTTTTTCTCTGGAGCTGAGGAGTGGCAGATCAACGTGCTTGAAGTGGCCTGACTTCCACCTGCCTCCCAGAGTTGGGGCTTGGTCTGATGGGCATGGTCCCTGCCCAAGAGCTAGGCTGGCTGTGGCTGAAGGGGCGGAAGCCCCAAACAGCCAGGAGGGGCTCCACAGCTGGCTAGTGAAGGGCGCTCTGCGGCCTGCCCTGCTCGTGGGTCACTTTCGGTGGTTTTTCCAGCCCTCCCCCCACGAATCCTGACAACCACTTTGCTTCCTTCCCCTGCAGAAGCCACACACGGATTCCTGGACAAGCCATGGCCTAGCCGAGGTGGCCAGCTACTGCGAAGAAAGCCGCTGCAACAATGAGTGGGTCCCCTACGTCTCCTTGCAGGTGCGCTGACCTGGCCCCCGCTTCCACCGTGAGCGCAGCAAACGGACGAGAACCAGACGGGTCAGAAGTTCTTAGGAAAAAAAAGCTCCGCCTGCCCATCCCATGGAGAAGTGGGTTGGGACGAGTCATGGAGACAGAGGAGGTGAAGCCCCCAGAGTGAGTGCCTGAGGGCCGGCTCAACCTTGTCAGCTGACTGCTCCGAAGGAAGAGGGCGGAGGCGGTGGTGGCCTTCCTGGCCTGGGGCTGCCCAGTGCTGTGGGAGGAGGTGGGGCGAATTCTGGGCCACTGGGCCTTGCAGCTGCCTCCCCGTGTCCCCCGTGGAGCAACCGGAGAGGAAGCCTGACCTGGTTGCCCTCTTGCAAAGGACTCTTAACTGGACGCTGGAAGAGGGAAGAATTCTTTGCATCTGCCGCTTGTGCCAGAAGAAGCAGCAGCAAAGGACTGATGCACGAAAGACGGTTGCAAACAAAATACAATGCTATCTTTAAAAAAAAAGACTTTTTGATAAAATGCATCCAAACATGCAATCTTTTATTTTCTTTTTTGCACTCTAAGCTTGAGAAGAACCCAAAGACAAATATATGCTTATATGATTTAAAAATTACAATAAAGATACTTTATGTTCTGCAAGCATGAAGTGATGCATGCTGAGTCTGCCTTAAGAGTTTGTTCTGCGTTTTGAGTGGGGTTGCGGGAAGAATATGCTTGGCTTGCAGCTCATCTCTTTGGCCTCTGCAAACAGCGTTTGCTCCCTTTGCAGACTGGCTTGCCATGTCTGGTAGAAACAGGGTTCTCCATGTAACCCTGGGGAAGCAGTTTGGGTGTTTAGCTGCACAGAAATTCCCCCGCAGCTCCGCTAATTGGGGCATCCTGGGAACTGCAGGGCCTCTTGACTGCCTGAGCGCACACACAGTTGCCATTGATCTGCATCAACTATTTTGGAACTTGCTGCAACTGGGCTGTTTGGGGTACCTCTAATGTGTGCACTTCTTCTCATGCTCAAGAGGTTTGCCCGGGGTGCGGGAGTGGCTGAGGGGCCCCACATCATCTCATGGGGTTCGTCAGCAGGCATCCGTGCCGCATGCGCAGGACTGGTTAGAGGAGGAGGAATGATGAGACTGAACACTTGCACGCCACCCTCACTTGCTGGTGCCGAGCTGGCTGGAGAGGGTTGGAGCTGTGATCCAACACACCTGAGCGGTGTCAGGCTTGCAGATTTTGCTGCACCCGCTTCCCAGGCATGAGCCCGATTCTGGAGCCCATGATACAAGCGGCTGTTTCTCTAAACTTTAGCTGTGCCTTGGTTTGCGCAAATTAGCATTGGGTATTTGGAGCAGACGAAAGATGGCAACACCACAGCCCTGTGTCGCCTTTTCCTTCTCTTTTTAAAGTAGGCATTTGGCTTCCTGCCACGATGTGCACGCAGTTTTGTTTTTTTGCTACTGTTAGTTTTGAGGTTGGGGCAGAAGTAGGAGTAGCAAAAAAATACATGCTGAGCCAGAGAAGGGTGGTCGTCGCACAAAGGTCTGGCTCACCTTTCCACTCTCACACCAGGTGGAAACCAGGCAAGAGTGAGCCAAGCACGGTCTTCCCAGCTGCCAGTAGCCCTGGACAGGAAGCTTGTTCTAATTTTGTTGCTCCATGTGCATGGGAAGCCGAGTGCTTTGACACCGTGATAAGCTTCCCACACAATGCTTCCTGCTTCCCACAAAACCAAGCTGCTCTTCTGAAATGTGTGACTTGCCTGTGGCACTGAACCAGGTTCCACCTGTGCAGACTTTGCACACTACCTGCCTCTTCTTGGCCTGGATCGCATAAGCACAGCTTGCCATTGTGGGCACAGTGAAGCAGATTTGGTTAAAAGCACTCTGTTGAGCTGCTAGCCCTTGAAATGCCAAAGCTGACGCAGAAGGTGTTTGTGGTTCCCTCAAATGAGTCACAGAGGGAGTTATGCAAACTAGACAAATGAATGCAAAGAGTAGCAAAGAGCATTCTTGAAGACTTCCTGCCTTCACTGCTAGATTCCTCTCTGCAGGGCCCTGGGCAGGCATCACGTGAAGATTCGTCACGACAAGCCCCATAGCCAGCTTTTTTGCGTGCTCTCTCTCATGTGTTCACGCGCACGCAGCCAGAACTGTCGCCCAAGCAGGGGGCTCTCCACGTGCACCCTTGGGTGCTGTGCTGGGTGGAGGGGGTCTGCATTTTGGCTCCAGAAATGTGGCAACCTGGCAATGGGAAGAGTGAGTGGCTCTGGTTGCTCAGGTTTTCCTCTCGCTGAGGATGCACACACAGGAGGTGGGGCAGAAATCCCAAACAACAGAGATATCCGGGGGCTGTTTAGCACTGGAGGCGGCGTCTTCACTGCTCGCGGGCGCATCCTGTCACAGGCCACACAGGCCAGGGAAGCTTGTGGGGTGGGTCGTCCAGGCAGCCGTGCAAGAAGTGTTCCCTGTGTGCTGGAGAGGCACGTGGATGCTTTGCAGGAAGGCAGGTCTCTGATCGGCCCCCAGCATTCATTGGGCCCAGGGACGAGGCCACCTCCACTGCTCGCCAAAGCTGTCTGTCTGCTACGATGGCCAGAAGCAAGGAGGTGGCCTTCATGGCCTTCCAACTCTACTGTTCTGTGATTCACAGAGATGCTCCCAGCGGGCCTCCAACACCGCCAGCTTGGCCTGCGAGACGGCTGGTCTTCCCCTCCCCGTGCAACCAAGGGCCCCTTCCATACCCGCTTGGGCGATGCCCAGGGCCACCTCCCTGGGATCCCCCTGCAAAGCATCCAGAGAGCAGCCACATGGTTCTCGCCGTCGACCTTCATCAGGCACGGCTGGCTGGATGACCGTGCAAGGACGGACTGCCTTGGCAGCGCAGGCCGCTCCTCCGTGACAGCAGCCCCCCTCCGTCTGCCGCAGGGCAAGCTCGCTAGTCGTCCATATGAGCGACGCACTGAGACCAGGATGAAGGAAGGCAGGTCGCTCACCTGTGGCTGCCGTTCTTCAAGTGGCCATCCGTGCGTTCACACAGCCCGCCCTCCAGCCCCATTTGCTCTAGTCCCTCCAACGGTGTCTCCTTACCCTCTATGGCTGCTCAGGCCGGGTCAGGTTGGGGTTGTGCGTGGGAGGCTCAGACGGCCACTCGAGGAATGACAGTGACAGTGAACGGCAACCCGTTTCTTCCTGCCGTGTCATTTGCCTTAATCGATTCAGCCTTGACGGTAACATGCACTGCCGCTAAGCTCAGACCAGGTGCTCTGGTTCGACAGAGCCTCTCAACAGTCGTCTTCTTATTTAGCTCATTCATTCGTGCGCTGCCCAATAGCCGAGCTCTCTTTTGCCTCAGCAGGGTGCGTGTGTGTGTGTGTGATAATCCTCACTACATTGTAGCCAGAAAACTCAGCAGCAGCTCTGGAGTGCTAAATCAGCATGGGTAGGGGTGGTCAGCTGAGCTCATGCAAAGTGTTGTTGTGGCTCATTTAGGCCATTCTCTCCCCTTTGACTTGGCAGCTGAGCTCTTGCAAAGCTTCACTTTGACTCAACTCAGCCATTCTCTCTCTCTTGACTCTGCAGCTCTCTGCTTCATCTCTTCTACACATTGAACTACAACTTTGGCCTCTTCGGGTGCATCCCTTCTCCTTCCAGCCTGCCTCCCACATGGCAGCAGCTTTCAGGAATCCAGCCCGACCGGGAGCAGCCCTGGCACAGCTCCAGGGAACTGAAGTCCATGCTGCACTCCATCCCCATATCCTGGGGAGCTCCACCAGAGGCTGCCTGCGCACCTGGGATCCTGGCGTCTGTTGTTTTGTTGAAAGGAAGCTGGTAACTGGACAGCTTGCTCAGGGTTTGGGATCTTCAAAACATTTCCACCAGCTCCTTTTCCTGGGCTGGGGAGATGAGCTCTGCTGTCGTCTCCATTCCTACCTCTGTCGGAATTTTACATTCTTGTCATATTTATTGTGCTTTGCAAACCACCCAAACAGCTTCGGCTGTTGGGCAGTCTAGACATTAAATAAATAAATTCTTGATTATTTGTACTGTTAACAATACTGTTGCTGGGGCCAGGAAGAAGGCAAGGAGGCTGATCTGAAGGCAGATGAGTCTACTTCAGCAGCATCTGCAACACTCTTGCCATGCATGTTCTAGGACAAGCTGGAGCAAAAACAAAACACAGATCTGTCTGTGCTCATTTCCATTTGCACAAAAGGCTGTAAGGGTGAAAAGGGGGATGCATGGAAAGGGGGAGAGGAAAGTACTGGGTTTCAGGGAAAATCATAGCATCTTAGTGGGAAGGGGCCATGAAGGCCACCGGGTCCAGCCCCTGCTGTTGCAGGACACCAGTTTGTATCACCCCACTCAGGGGGCTGTCCAGTTTCTTCTTGAATGTCGCCAGCGTGAGAAAGCCTCAGGCTGAAAGATTTGGGGGAAGCACATGTGGGTCAAAATGCATCCCATCTGGAGGCTTGGAGGGAGCAGAAGTTCTCGGAGTCCTCTCATCTTTCCTTCAGCAAGTGAGATCCAGGCCTCCATTGGTTCTTCCCCAAACTGCCTTATCTGACCATCTAATCCCATCAACCTGTCTTTCAAGTGATGTTTTCCAACAGACATTCATGTGCCATTCAGTGGAAATCCTCTTCACAAAGAGCTGAGTGGCAGAAAGGAGACAAGTCGCTTCCAAGAGCAGCTTCTGTGTCAGTTGAAAAGCCAGCGATACAGCTGAGATGAGCCTCCCAGGTGGTCCGCTGCCAAGCGATCCTACCTTAAAGCTGGCAAGCAAATCTGATACAAAGGCTGGTCTACCACAATGGAACAGCAGAGCTGGAGGCCGGTGGCGTCAGGTGGAGCTGAGGTTCATATCCCTGTATTGACATATGTCCTCACTGGCTAAGCAGCACAGGCAGGGCCTTTTCAGGGGTGATCCCCATGGTGGAACACCCTTCCTGCAGGGAGTGCACAGAGTGCTCTTTGTGGACTTCTCCATCCTTCCCAGGCAGAGCACTTCCCTACCTCTGCTGCAAAGTTTAAGTCCAGCAAAGACTCAGAACTTTGACTGCAAAAACTCTACTTCTGCTTTCCCTTCTGCATCCACAACCTTAAGGACTAGTGACTTGCTTTTTCAAAACCCCTTTTTATATCTGCAATTAAGTTTTCTGAGCACTGAGCTTTGCAATCTGTACCTTGGCAGTTGTACTGTCTTGATATGAGCATTCACAGTCAAGTCAGTTCCACCTGATTCCCAAGCCATGTCTGGGAGGCTTTTTGGAGACCTCCTGGTTTTGCCCAGGGGAACAAAGAGTAGCTAAAGGGCTAGAACAGCAAAGGTGGTCAGAGCCCTGGCACTGCCCAAACCTGCCAGACTCCTCCTCTGAATGGTGCACATTTTAAAAAGAAAATGTTTATACACGTAGTTCAAGAAATACAGCTGGTAGCTCAAAATAAAAATGCAGAGCAAGTTGATACAGATAAATATACTGGGATTTGGTTGAGTGGGTGGGGAGCAAAAGAGAGAGTAGGGATGGCCTGGAGCAACTTTCTTAAGAAGAAAAATGAAATCTTTAATGTAAACTTAACATTGCTTTGACAATTGTACTTATATAGTGTTATATTTTCTCAGTTCTAGACATCCAAAAATAGACAAGC